TCAGGATGTGGAAAGATTGCAAAGCTTCCTTAAGAAATCAGCTGAGGATTCCTTAGTAGGTGAGGCCACCAGCAGCGTCTAGTCACACTTTGTTCTCCACTTGGCTCTACCCCATACAAAGACAGCTTACAAAAAGCACTGACCATGACCACAGCCAGAACCCTCTTACTCCACAGAGCTGCCAGTCCACACCGACACACAGGAAAGGAGCAGACAGTGGCTTCAGTAGAGTAGCCTCTCCTGTTTGGATGACAGAGCAGAGAATGGGTGGCTTCAGTCTAGATGTCTCCAGTGAGTCCTTGCACAGGTGGAGCCATCACAGCAAGAAGCTGGCAATGGGCAGGAAGAAGGATCTGTGGACAGAGGTTCTCAAAGAAGGAAGGTGTACACAGACAGATGGAGAGCTGCGGGAGTCAGAGGGAATAGTTATTCTGTCTTATCATCAGCAGGCCACAAGCCAAAATGACAATGCTCCTTAAAACAGCAGAAAAGAAAAATACCCACTACATTGGGTAACTGGGGAAGGGAAAGACACCACGACCTTGTTCCTGCCAGCAAACTAGCTGGTTTGAGTCTTGGCAGCAGAAAGCATCGCAGCATATTTTTTTTTTGCCATCCCCTGGGAAAAGTCTTTATTCTGTAGGAAGGTTTTGCAATCTTAAAGAAAGCTCAATGGAAGAGACAGGTAAGAAAAGAAATCTGATCTCAAGACTCTAATGAATTTAACTTGCTAGCACAAATATGCATACTCTACATCTAGGCAGAAATACCCCAAATACAACCTAAGAAAATTGTTGCCTAGCCAAATACTAAGTTCATTGCAACTAATGTTTGCATTTTTACCAGTTACATTGCAAACGGTGAATTTGCTTTCAAAAACATAAAGCTTTCAAACTCTGAAGGACCAAAAAATAGTCAGTTTAATCATCTAGAAGACAAATGTAGTTAAGTAGGTGGTGCAAAGGGACCATCTACTTGAAGCCCTGCCCTGACACCCACTATTCACAGAATCCACCTTTGTCTGCCTTTTAATAGTTAAGTGCTCCTTTATTTTAGTCTACATTTGTGATAATAAATTTATCTTCAATATTGGAAGCGGTGTTTCTGATAGCACCCCTTCTATTGTTGTACTGAAACTATGGAGGAATTCAGGCTACAATATGTTTTCCAGTGTATTACAAACCCTCAGCCTCACCTTGTCCTTTAGAAGGCACCTGACAAGTGACATTAGTCAGTGTTGCTATGTGCTCTATCACCTCTTGTTTCACAAGAATGCTCCATGCACAATAAGGGATGCAATAGGGCAGTAATCTCTAGAGGAAGAAATGCAGTTAACATGCAAGCTTGTGTCTGACTAGCTGGCTGGATATCCATTTGAGCAAGGTTTTCAAGAACAGCAAGTAAACCAGTGGCTAGGAATAGAAAACTAGCTTTTGCAGGTGGCAGCTTTTAGGGAGCTGGCAATGAGACACAGCCTGTTTCAGTGGCTGACACCTGCTTGTAAGCAACTGAAAGGCATGGCCAGATGATATAGCTGTTGCAAGAGGAGACCCATCACCCCAGCCCAGCTCTCAGCCAGCAAGCAAACAGACAATGCACAAACATCTCCCACAGCTGCTTGCATTTGTCTCCTGCTTCGCATTTGTCCAGCGGCCGGTCCAACAGGCCTGGTCTTTGGTGGAGATCCTGCTGCCTCCAGGAACACAAATAACCACCAGAAATCCCCACTGGCAGGCCCTCGCTCACAGGCTCTAGTGTTCACTAGGGCAAGCAACTGGCAGAAAGTCAGCAGAGTCTTAGTTAATTCCTTGCACTTTGGACTGGGCTTGAAACAGGCCAAAAGCACACAAAGGAATGCAGGGAGCTCACAGGTCCTCCTGGTGGGACCAAGATTCCCATGGGGTCAGTACAGGGTGAAGGGACCATCTCGGAGCGAGGATTTTTGGAAACCCCCCTGGTACCAAGGCAGCCCAATGAAGCCTTTGCTCCACCTAAAGGTGCGAAGTGCACTTTATTCTCCTTGGTGAACATGTGGAACTTGCTTTCTATTTATATTAAGGTCATTGGCAACGAAGAGGAAGAAGCCTCAATGAGGCAAAATATGAATTCCCTTTACACTATAAACTTTAACCCTGGTGTGACTTTCTATAACACAATAAAAACCCTCCTACTGTTGTCCTTTTTTTGTTGTTTATATGCTATCATTCTGTGAAAAACACAGAATTATAAACAATATTTTCAGCATTTTTCCAACCAAAACAACTTCTTAAGCAGATAATGGATAGTGATTTATGTACAAAACAAACAACCTCCCCTACTGAATAACATTTTGGATTTCTTTGCCATTGTAAGATGCTTTACTTTCACCCAGCAGACCAGTAAATTGGGTTTGACACTACTCAGAGCTAGAAAATAAACTGATAAAGCCAACTAAAAACAAGTTATCTTTTTCCATTGAAAAGATATGTTGTTTCCACTAATGCAGCTAACAATTGCTAGCCTGTCCCTGCAAGCAAGGACTATCTCCCGACCTCACCAAAACCAGCCTAGCAAACCAGAGGTTACTTGGTTGTGCAAACTGACACATACTTGAGAGTGAGCAGAGATCGTTAATGCCTGTTTGATAGCAGAAATAATACAAGTCCTCACCAGGCTTCATTTCATGTTAGGGGCGAAAATCCACACTTAATGTTAGCAGGTGAAACTTGTGCCAGCCAGGCAGGAACATCACAACCACACAGCTGAGCCCCAGGGCTCGTCTCACAGCTTCCATCCACCTCCCTCTGCCAGTGCAGCACCTACAGCGAAGCAGAACAGCCCCCGTTCCAGGGTGGAACAGGACCACCGTGACTTTCTACATACCAACAGGTGAACAGCCCTACAGAGGCTGGTATAACAGCTGTGCATTCCCTTCTATTACAACCCACGCTTTCTGAAGACCTCAGTTGTTGCCGAGATGCAGGTTCAAATGAACTCAAGAAAAAGAGAAATAAGTTTAAAATCAAAAAATCAGTCACTGCTTTACAATTCAAATTCACATGAAGGAACCAACCGGTGAATGCAAAATTATATCAGCTCAGATTCACAACTGGATTTTGTATATAAACAGATCAAGCTTGCTCAGTCCTGCAATCCCGGATTTGTCCCATTTTCAGTATTTTTCTAGTTTTGCCATGTTCTTCCTAAACTGTGGACCCAAGGAGTGCAATATTTTAGATGTGCTACAATCACCTGTGTGCTGTGGTGTTCCCCTTGTATTTTCTGTTTCCTCTCCCCATACATGCAGGGATATGTACTTGCAGATACAACATTTGGAATAGCTCTACCTACTGTCAAGGCTTTGAAACACAACTGTTTCCAGCAGTTTATAGCACTGCCAGACTACAACTGTTTCACCTACATTTTCCATGCCAAAAGCCTGTCTCAAGTTGTAACCAAATCAGCTATTTTCAAGAACAAGAATAGGGAACAATATAGTCCCTTAAGCATAAAAACATTAACAACTGCAGCCTCAGAGGAGGGTCTGACAGGCAGGCAGGCAAGGAACTGAGCGGCCATAGATAAACAGAGAAAGCAAGTACTGCGTAACTACCGTACTGCATACACAATGCAAATTCTTCCCCAAGGAATTATGTCAAAACAAAGTTAAATTTTTCATTTGAACTAATACTTCCATTTAATTTATTTTTATAAATCAATCTGCATAATGTAAGCTGGCATCCTTCACATTTCAACTTTGCTTCCAGTAATAAAACTAACTCTGCAAATCATTCCCAGCTATATGTTATTTTTATATCTAAGAGCACCGAGTGATAGAAGCTTGGCAGGGCAGATCTGACTAAGAGAGCGAAAAATTGTTCTACTTCCCAAACATACCAGAACAAGACCATGCTCCATAGCCCGATTTTAAAGCAGTGGGATGAAAATGACTCAGCCTACGTTAAAATTAGAGGCATGACGAGATTGAGACTGCAAGATAAGTACTGAATTAAAAGCACTTTTACTTAAAGAAGCTTTTTTGTTAGCACCTGGTAAAGGAAATACTGGAAACCTAGCAACTTCAAAAGTCTGTGGAATAGTCAAACCTATGAGGAGGTGTCTGATGGAGCAGAGTGCCACCTGCCATCACCGCCGCTGTAGGGGAGAAGAGTTGGTGCCTCAGGCCTGGCACAACGCTGCAGCTGGGCACCCCAGGCCCTCCCCCTCGCCCCATGGGGGCATGAGGCAAGGCTGGGACAAAACAGGACAGGGGCTGCACCGTGCCATACAGATGCCTGTTGGCAGCAACATCCCAGCAGCAGGGACTCCTGCTGAAAGCCCCCCCAGCCACCTCCAGCTCCCATTTCCCCAGATCCTCACCCAAACCCACCTCTTCCCCTGGCTGCTGGGAAGCAGCCTCAGCCCAGGAGGGAGACGGAGATGCCGCAGGCAGGTGAGCACCCACCTTCCCACCCTCTGTGAAGAGCAACAACCCGAAAGGCAGGGAACCATCACTCACCAACAAAAGCGTTTCTCAAATCAAATACTTACAGGACTTCCACAGCTGTGAGTCATTTAGCCCAGAGTAACCTTAACAGGTTTCTCTGTATCTTCTGTTCCTTCTCTTTGTGCTCAGAGACAGAAGCACAGTGTTTCTGGGGCTTTCTATAATGAATACTTAGTTAACCTCCTCCCATATAGACACACATACATTTTAAAATATATATAAAAATATAAATCACTCCAACAATTTGAACGGTAGATGAAAAAAACATTAACTAGGAGAGTTCACTAGGCAGGCCAAATGACCAAACCAAGACATTCCCATTCCCCTCCTTCCAGATACACTACCCAGAGCCAGAAGGAATGCGTCACAGCTCACTGTTCCTGCCTGCTGCCTCCCCAGGCTTTTCCTTTCTCTTTCAGGAAATCCTCCAGCTGGCCCTGGTTTGTTCTCTAGTGCATTTTAAATTCAGCTTCTTTGCATCAATTGAATTCAGGTGCACAGAGGCATTTGTTACCTGCACGTGGGTGTTGCTCCTGGTGAGACTTCCTTACTTTCTTCATTGCCTGGGTTTCCTTCTAACAAATCCCTAATGACCAAATTAGAAGCAGAAAAGAAAAAGAGTAATTCTTTCAAGTATTTTCTGCCTTCCTGCAATATATATACACGCACACACACACACATTCTTTAAAGAAATGTGGAAAACCAACTGCCACCAAAGGAATCTACATCTCCCAGCACAGATTGACAAAGTCGTGCCTAAGTTTGTGTTGAATTGTTTGCACAAATAACCCTTGCAGTTTTCTCCCTAATAGGAGGACACAGAGGACAACATTGTAATAAATTACTATTCCATCCATACAGTCAGTGCTGGCTGTCTCCCTGCATCTCTAGTACAAGCCCAGAGAGTCGTTGAGCTGCTAATGAGCAGCACAGGCACTGTGCTCTGGGGGCCAGGAGGACAGGCAGAGCACGGGCGACCAGGCACGGTTCATTTTTACTAACCCAATACCGAACAGCTGTGGTGCACAAGCAGTGATGAGAAACCACAGTCCACCAGCATTTTGATGCTAACAATTTTTAAAAATCAGCAAGACTAGATCACAAAGAATCTGTTACTGACTGAACAATACAGAGTCCTGTTTATCTGGATGGATGTGTGTGAAATAAAGGGGCTGCTATAAAAATAATTTTCACCGTCCCCTTGTGAACTTTGTGTTCCAGTCTGAATATGCTCTGCTTCAACAAGTAGTTCATCCCCACCACGTCTCATGCTGGATGGCACAATGTGACAATTGGGGGAATCCAGCTTTGCTCTATCTGGAGCAGTGGAATTTTCTATTTCCCCATACCTTTATGCTTAGAAGCAAAATTATTTACAAGTTGGTGTCATAGAATACTATGGGCCAAATTTTACCTTGGACATTAATTCTATGGGGACTTAAGCAAATGCCTTTCTAGAGTTTTCCTGGGGAAGGGTCATGTCCATAGTGGGTACTGGACTCTCAGAGATAAGGGGATGGCTGAAAACACAATACAAATGTGAGTTCACAATTGCAATACACTGCTCAGTCGCCATAGCAGTGTGATTCCCGTTACCCACAATACACTCACCACCATGACACTGCGTGTCCCCGGTCACGAATTAAGTGGGTTGATGCCAGCTCAAGCCCATTGCTCTCTTTGAAATTCCTCTGCTAGTTGTTCAGATTTTTTACCCCAGGCTTGGCTGAGCCACATAATCCCCCTCGCCATGCCAGTCTGGCTAACTCAGGGAGATATTTACATCACTGGTTGATCCACTCAGCTGTTGATGGCTGTTTATCTCAAAGGCCACCCTCCCCGTCCCCTTCACGATGAGATAAAGTCAGCTTTGCATTACTCTCCAAGTATCTTGTCACCCTAGCCCATTTCCACTGAGTATTCTTCCCCGGTGGGGTTTATTTGGAGAGCCACCACCCACCCTGGGGGGTTTACTCAGTCACACGCTTTCTGGAAAACCCATCTGCTGTGTTGACCTGTGGAAGAGGAAGGCTAGAGGTCAGGAATGACCTGCAGCGCGTGTGGCATGGCCTCTCCCAAAGGAGGCCTGTGTAAATGCCAGGTGTGATTTTGTGGCAAAGCTTCACACCCTGACTCCTCGTCCTTCAGGAGGCAAAAGGAGGCTGTGTTCTTGGCAGCCCCCATAACCACCTCCTGTGCGGCAGCGTGGGGTGCGACTCACCCCTCAGTCATGCGGAGCCCAGCCGGGGCTGCGTGACTCAACAGAAAAGTCTCTGTGTTCCTCCAGAAAAGTCTTGGGGAGAAAGAAAATCCAGCTCAATTACTTGATGTACCCTATTCTGCAGGAAAGCACTGATTAGGCATGTTTCATAGCAGGGCATTGTAAGAGGGTGACTAGGAGAACCAAACCCTAGAAGGCAGGCTGCTGGTATAGCTGGAGGGGGTGAATCACTCTCTTTTCAGCAGCAGTATCGTTAGCCTGGAGCTAAAAGAAGCAAAACAGGGAGTAAGGGAGTGTGCTTGCCAGGAAGAATATCCTTGGGTGTTTTTTTTCTGTTTGTTTTGTTGTGGGTTTTTTTAATGCTTGACAGCTATTACTACTAAATAGCAGAATCTGTGACAATACAGACAATATAATTGTTTTGCTCTAAGAATACAGGGCAGCATTTTCACCAAACAAGAATGGACGTGTTGGGTTGTTTTAATTCCTGGCATAGCTGGGCATGTCTTATCTCCGGCTCGAAAAAATGAAAATGCAGACCGAAGACAGCCAGTTGTCTTGTTAGGTAACTACACACAACTTTCACCACAGGATAGGAATTGTTGGCAAGATGTGTTATCAGTACAGAGAAACTTAGTATTGCCAGCTGAATGGATCTGTCACATTTCTTTCTGCAAATGTTATGTCTACTACTACTACAAATAGCACAGCTGAGTGATAAAACTTTAAAAATGTGAAAAAATATTTTCTCTATTTTCAAGTCTGTGTGCCTTGTGAATCTGACAGCATTTTATTTTGTCAAAGTCATGTTTCAGGCCCCAGCATTTCTCCCACCTTTACACCTGTGCTCATCATTAACAGCAGCAGAGTTTGAACAGAGTTTGCAGCAGCTCATACGGGACAGAAAAGGCAGTCTTGTTAGGTATCTTTTAACTAGAATGAAATAGGGATGAGATAACCTTATCCAAGAATATTGCCCTTAAAACACTGAAACATGCTCTTTAATGTCTGCTGGCTAAGGCCTGTCTCTACAGAGACTGAAAGAATTTCACATTGCCAGAACCTTCCTTCCACGAATAGTCACACTGATTTCATGTACTTCTTTAGGATCAGGTCTTAGATGACACTATTTTTAACTACATGAAGGACAGAAAGTCTAAAACACCTTAACCCTCCAGCTGAGTCTCTATATATTTTAAAGCCATTCTAATATGCACATAATTAATGTGTATATTACTCAGCAAAGAGTAAATAGCAAATGCTACAGTAAGTCTCATGTCTCTAATCTCATGACTGTACAGAAATATGCTACTGTAAATTAACTAGTACATTATGGTGTGTTATAAATAATTAAAACTAAAACTGCAGTTGACAAAATGAATGAAGCAAGAGCATTCTGTAACCCAGTGTTCTTCTTACCCTACTTAATAACTTCCTAATTTGAATAAAACACTAAATCTGAGTCTCTTAAAGCACAGGAAGGAATTCGTTAGTATCATTTATTAACTTGGAAAGCACCTTGGTTGCAAAAAAACCCAAACCCAAACATGTTAAAACCTACACATAAGCCAGTCCCAGATAAAACATCAATCTGCAAGCTGTCCAAAATAAACCAGCGCTTCATCGTCTTTCATAGGTCTACGATGTGAAGCCAAAGCGATCATATTAAAGAAGTGGTGACCCACCCAGGACAAAGCTCTGCTGCTGACTGTGGGACATCAAGACGTAAGAAAGAACCCATCCTACCTGGTACCAGAGGACAGGGGAAAGAGATGGGCTTCTCCAGTCATCCCAGTTGACACCACTTGATGCTGAAGCAGGTGAACAGGAACTACGTGTCTCTCATCAGCCAGGCTCTTCCACAGTAGTATCTGCTCTACAGCATTGCAGGCAAGAGTGATAGCTGAGCACAGGGCACAATCAGGAAAAATAGGTTCTGCTTTGGCATGTGAATTTAGAGCAGTTCAGCTTTTGAGACCTAGAGATGAGAAGAGACAGTTAGATGAACAGCATATGAGTAATATCACTGTATCTTTTAGAGTGATTTTTAAAGCAGACCAAAGATGCTTTTATGCAACTTCTTAGAACCTGCTTGCTCCATTACTTCAATCAATAGTGAGTGTCAAATTGTTTTTGCAGAGGTTTTTTGTTTTTTTATATTTTTATTCTTTAGTTTCACTGAAATAGCGCATCTCTTTTTTTAGATAGACATAAAAGGTTCTGACAAAACCTGCTGCTTCATTATCTCCAGCTGAATTGCATTTTCTGCTCCTTGACTGCTCATCATCCTGCTCTGTCTTCTCTGGAGTACCACAGAGCTTTCCACCTGCCTTTTTTTTTTTTTTTTTAATTTGTTGGTATTTATTCACAGGACAAAAAGTTTTACCAATTAATCTACTGTTTATGCTGTCTGAGCTAGGGCGGACCTTCCTTCGAATGGAGAACAATCCCAACTGACAGCCAAACCCTGCACTGCTCCCATGCAGTGCAGCACCATGGAGGTGAGTGTCATTGCCCACCTTCCCTCCAAAGCAGCAGGTGGGATGCTGAGAGATAGATGGAGTCCTCTGGATGAACCTTCAGGAAGAATTCCTGGTGTGGAGAGGACTTGGACTCTGTTTCCGTAGCCTCCAAGAGGAGGATTCCTACAGCCTGGAGTTCACCATGCATGGAAGGTTCCTTGATGGTGCTGGCTCAGGTGACTTAGGTGTCCCTGGGCTGCTGGCTGGCTGGTACACAGCACACACCTCCCCAGCGCTGTGAAAGGGGAGAGGCAGAGGGAAAAGCTTTAAATATCTGCATAACCTTGACTTGTGCAGCTCCGTTGAAGCAGATGGAAATCACAAGGGACAGAAATCCTCCTGCTTCACACTGTAAGTCAGCTTCCACCGATCAGAGCGGGGGCATGAACAGCAAGTGAGAATGGCCCAGGGGAAAAGCTCATCTGTAACTGTCCTCTGACAGTGGGTAAAAAAGATCCTCCACCCATCTGTTACTGCCTACACTCGCTCTGGCACCCTTACATGGAGGCTGAGCAGAGGACCTGACAGCCTGTTCTGGTACCAGACACCCCACAGGCTACCCCAGGGAGTCTCTGGACCATATGAGGAGATTCATCAGGCACTGGGTGATGCTAGGAGAGAACAGGATGCTCCTGCAGGGATGAACTTCCCTGGGAGATCTTGACTTCTGGGCAAAGCCTTGTAGCTGAGAGCAGAAGCCTGTAATTCCATCTTGCCATGGATGAGGACACTGGTGGGTCTGCACTGGGTATAAGCAAGGACAGTTTATAATTCTCACTTTTTTATAATAATGACAGGTTAATCCTGTCTTTACTAATCCACCAGGATGGAATAGCTGACATCAGGCTCCTCCAAGCTGCAGTGGGTGCTCACAGCTGTATGAGCCAGAGATTGTTAAGCACACAGTTAACTCCCACAGACTATTTCCTTCTTTTTTTATAACCATTTCTTTAGGCAAGTCTCTCCTGGTATTTTAAAAATTCATTTTAATCAATTTAAAATTAATAAAGAAGCAGTGAAATCCTTGGGGCCTGAAAGCTCCAATCTCTGCCGCGCAGGAAGTGATGAGTCAGCTGCAGCAGGGCCCGCCATGGAGCCTGCTGAGGGACGCCTCCGAGGAGCTGCTGCTCGCTGAATTAGGTCACTTGGTTTGCTATTTACAGAGAGGCAACCGTGGCTGCCGACGGATGCTTCTTTCTTTCTGCCGTGAAAGAGCTGCTGTGCTCCGAGGGGACAGTGTCAGCAACACCTCACAGTGGCCATGGAGGCTGTGGCTCTGTCTGGTGCAGGGCCCGGGCAGGAGCACCGGGCCTCTCCCTGAGGAGGGAAGGGATTAGTGGCCGCAGGGCATGGCCGCATGCAGGGTCCTGTCACACTACTCAGGGGGACCCCAGGCTCCGGCCCTGGCTACTGACCCACGCTTGTCTGAGCTGAGAATGGAAACCATCCCAGGGATCCCTCCCTCTGTCCCGCTCCCTCAGCGCCAGAGCGGAGCCGCAATACTCCCTCCCTAATCACCCCGTTCTAATTGCTGTGCCATGGTCCTAATGGGCAGCTCCTACGACACCTCTATGGGGGATTAACATTAAGCCTCCGCTTTGTATAATAATGCGGCACGTGAGGAAAAGAAGTTCCCACCTCATGTGCCCGCAGCACGTGGGCTGCACAGGCCAGTCACCTGTGTGTCTGTGGGCCATGGCAGCGCCCTGTTGGCAGCATCCTGGCCAGGCCAGGCCCGCAGGGGGAGGCTGGAGTCCATGAGCTGCAGCAAGACAAAATGCTTTGCCCGGCTCCACAGGCCCAGTGCCAGGGGATAAGGGAGACCAACAGCTCTTACAGTGCTCTTGCAACATGAAGGGTCCCGGTCTGTAGCAGGGGAGCAGGAACATCAGAAGGACATGGACCTGTTGGAGCAGGTCCAGAGGAGGCCACGAAGATGATGGGAGGGCTGGAGCACCTTTACTGTAAGGACAGGCTGAGAGAGTTGGGGTTGTTCAACCTGGAGAAGTGAAGGCTTCGCGGAGACCTTAGAGCCCCTTCCAGTCCCTAAAGGGGCTACAGGAGAGATGGGGAAGGACTCTTGATCAGGGAGTGGAGTGGTAGGATGAGGGTGAATGGTTTTAAACTGAAAGAGGGGAGATTTAGATTAGATATTAGGAAGAAATTCTTGACTGTGAGGGTGGTGAGACACTGGCCCAGGTTGCCCAGAGAAGTTGTGGATGCTCCATCCCTGGAAGTGTTCAAGGCCAGGCTGGATGGGGCTTTGAGCAAGCTGGTCTAGTGGGAGGTGTCCCTGCCTGTGACAGGGGGGCTGGAACTAGATGATCTTTAAGGTCCCTTCTAACTCTAACCACTCTATGATTCTATGAACACGACTAATGAAAGGGCAGAAGCCCTCGTAGACTGCCCATGACATCTCTGTGTTTGGTCCTCTCTACCTGCAGCACAGGCTTCCCCAGCATGCACCTCCTGGGGGACCCTAAGGACGGGCACAGAGATCTCCAATGCTGAGGGATCGTTGGCTGTTCCCTAAAGTCATGCAATGCGACTGGTGTGTCCCTGGGTTGGGAGAAGGGGGACAGGAAAGCTATACGCCAGCCCTTTTGGGAACAGCCAGGCTCTCCTGGAAGGAGAAAGGCTGACCGTCAGCTGGCAGCTACGCTGACAGATCTGAATCATCACCAGCTTATGGCACTTATCTGGAAACATTGGTGACCCACTTCGGAAAAAACAAGCATATAGCGTCCCGCGACAGCCGGTACCACCTCCGCATCCCTGCCCAGCTCCGCTCCAGCATGGAAAGGACTGCCCAGATAGGAGAGAGGAGAATTCAGCTCCCCTTGCCCTGGCAGCCGCCCTAACTCTCCTCCCATGCTGCTCGATTTCGTTCCTAGATACGGTTTGCCTAATGTCAGTTATTTCTGGAGCACAAGGAGCACCAGACACAGTGAGGGTCTTCCCTCGGTGAGAGAGGAACATGCCGTGCTCAGCTGGGCCGTACAGTGGAGAACAAAACACTCACAAAGAACTGCTTGCACTCTCAAAAGAAGCAGTTTCACTTCCCCTACAAGCAGTGGCTCCAAATAACAAGATGCCTTGAGTAATTAACTGAATGTTCTTTGGATAGAGCTTGTAAAAGGAGCTTATACATATTAAACAAGAAAGAAAGATCTACTGTCTATAACTTGTTCTTTACTAACAAACAAAAGGTTTGGACTGAACCCATTTTAGAGCAAACTTTACAAGGGCCTTATGCTGAAATTATTCAATAGAAAGAATTGAACAGAGTCCAGGGCATTTGTGAGGGGCTGACCACAAAAAGCAAGGTTTGTGGTCGGTTTGTTTGTTTTTTTAAGAAAATCAAATACTCTCTCTCTTTTGGCATTAACATGACAGAGCTGTAAAGATTTAGCAGTCGCACTGCATTAGCCCCCAAGAAACACACAAAACAACTGCTCCCTTAGCTAGATCAGCTGCTACAGCAAGTGTTATAGTTGCCGTTACCAGAGCTGAAAGTGGAAAGGAATTCCTCATTAAAGCACTGAAGGACAAAGAATCTTCTCTGTAACAAGGGCTCGTGTAGTGCTAGTTGCTGGTACTACAGTATCTTTGCATCCCAGCATTCGCTTGCCCAACGCAGCCTGCTGTTCCATCGGGACAAGTAACACTTTGGTAGTAAAGTGAAATACTTATACTCTATGAAATCGCTAGTTTTTACTTGCAACAAGAACCAAAAGCCAATGCTATGAAATCGCTAGGTTTTACTTGCAACAAGAACCAAAAGCCAATGTTCTACAGTCATGATAAGGTAATGATAAGAACATGGAGCTCTTCTAGGTAGAAACACAACAGCTACTCATCAGCAGCACTATGATGGAAGACTCAGATGCTCTGCTGGATTTGGAATATATTGCAATGGCAGGCAGTTAATACTGCCATACGCTGCAAAAAATGGAATGTAAAGGAAATATGGAGGAAATGTAATTATTTAAATGGTTGGGTTTGATACCACCAGAAAAAACCTGCCTGGGTAAACCAGTATTTAGCCCTTTATCTTTATGAATTGCCTTTAAAGAATAAAAGAGCTGCTGCTCTCCTGTGTCTCTGCCCTCAATCTGGTATTATATTCATGTGGGAGTAGATAAAGCAGCCATGCCACATAACAGCATGAAGCACCAGGAAAGCCTTGGGAGGCCAGCAGAGGCAGAGCTCACCAACTCCCTTTCCCCGAACAACCCAGCCTAAGAAGAGGCAAAGAGGAAAGAAAACCCCACAACTGCATGAAGCCTGCCGAGATGACTGCTACAGTCCCACAATTCAGTATGCCAGCCAAACACACCTAGCTTGGCCAGTAAACCGTTAAAAGCAGCTGCATTCTTCAACTAAAGAGAGAAAGCTTTGATGATATGACCTTTCCCAGCTGTTGGTAACTGGCTGAGTACAAAAGGTCAGGTTGGGAGTTACCCACAACACAGGGCTTTCCATGCTCCTGGCACACTGTCTCATGCCAGCTATGCTGGAAACCAGCTCAAGCACAAGCGGTACACGACCTGGGAAAACACAGAGACAAATCAGGTGCCACAGAAAGAAGAGCAACCAGAGGTCAGAAGACTGGGCTCACTTCTGAGTTCAATTCCTGCGCTGGCAAATGTCCTCTTTCTCACAACAGCCTTCAGAAGGGTCCACCCGCTTCAGGGACCCAGAGCTCTAACATTCCTGCTTACCAGCTGCCTAAACTCACAAATGTCTGCGTTTCTGAAGTTACAGTCTCCAGAGACCTAGAAAAAGATCTTCTGAATATACTGGGAAGCACATCAGTCTTAACACTGCAGAGCAGCCTAGTGTCTGTTTTGTGCCTAAGCCTCTCATATTTGAGAAGTGGTTTCATCTCTTCCAGAGAGGAGCAATGTGACAAAATTATTTCCTGCTCACCTATTAATATTCAGCTGTGATAGAGACAAAAGATTTTGGCTCATGCCCTCATTTGCTCACTGAAGAGGAAAAAAAGATGAACCGAAATGGTTGAATATGTTTCTGTTTTAAATTAATAAGCGGGATTTTTTTTAAAGATAGAAATTGAAGTCCTGCTTCACCGTAAGGCTGCAGGGTGGCTAAGGCCCAGTGCAATGATAAACGATAGAATAAACCTGTAGAGTTTGTGCATGACATTTCAAAAAGCTTTCCTTGAATGTCACATACTGAGCATCACAGGCATTCCTGAGATAATTAACAGAA